GCCCAGGGAGCGGGTGGTCGGTGGACAGCACGACGTGAGGGGTGGCCGGCGTGAACTACTCTAGAAAGAAGCGTGGCTCTGAGGAGACAGGTGGGTGGACACGACGGGGTCAGAGGAAGTTCACGGTTCCGTGGCGCGTGCCGGGCTGGGGCTGGGCACCATTTTCCGCTGGAACAAGTGAGGAGGGACAGCTTGGAGGCACAGGAAAGAGAGGGGGCGGTGGACAGACTTTGGGGCACGGGCGGGCGTGGCTTTGACCCCAGCCTCCGAGTGTGGTGGCTCTGCTTTGAAGACATCGTAGGGCAGTGCGCACGTGGGCTGCAGGTGAATCGGGTTTTGTCCGGCCTTCACCAGCTGCGGTTGAAGGCCTGCGTGGTAGGAACCTTACCTCCCGGGTCACGGTGTCCTGGCCGTAAAAGCCGCACTGGACGCGGGGCCTCGAGTGGGGTCTTGCTCACAAAGCCCCCTCCCTGAGCACCAGGTCTGGGGAGCAACCAGCAGGAGTGGAGGGGCCATCAGGAATGAAAGGGCATTCCGGGGGGGCTCGGTGGGTGTTGTCCAGGCTCTTAAGACATTCCAGAAACACGTCTGACTTACTTAACAGTTGCTTTAAACGAGAGCACTTCACGTGCCGGAAGTTCTGGCAGCCACGCTGTGCTTGGAAGGGTCAGGTCCGCGTGGGTGCCGGGACCTGTCGGCTGCAGCCGCCAGAGCAAACCTTCTGGAAGTTTCACCATCGCTGCCCTCAGCTGAGGCTCTGCTTCTTATCCGGCTGCTTCCCGCCCAGCCTTCTCCTCCCTTTTCAAAAGCACGCTCGTGCCTGGAGGACAGAGCTGGAGCTTGCTCTCTCCTGACCCCCCGGGTTGACGTAACCCAGCCAACCACTTCAGTGATTTTGACTGAGAAGCGGGACTCTGGTCCCCGACCCTGGGCGCCACCGTCACCGATGTGCTCTGAGCCCGGGCACATCTTCATAAGCCGCTTCCCAGTAGACACGTCACAGCATCAGCTTGTGTATCAATAATGCCAGCAGCGATCTCGCATTTCCCAAGCGATGGCGGGTGTGACAGGCAAGATGTCCCACAGACCGCGCATTCCTGACGCCAGCGCAGCGGGAGGCATCTGCTGGGATGTGGTACGGGGCTGTCCGAGCACTGAGTTCCCTGCCATGGGAGTGTGTGGCTGTTAGTTCCACGGCTTGCGCGGTGTCTAAATACGCTGACTGCCTTACCTCTCTGGCATCTCCTCATCTGTCCCCACAAAGCTTGTGCTGCTGCACTATCACTGTGTCTTCTCTCGCCCCGCGAAAGAGGTCGCCGGGCTCATTTTCCTCTTCTTTTTTCTCTTCACCAGTGGACCGCATTGTGGGTCTGGATCAAGTTACTGGCATGACGGAGACCGCTTTTGGCTCTGCCTACAAAACCAAGAAGGGCATGTTCCGTACCGTGGGGCAGCTCTACAAGGAGTCCCTCACCAAGCTGATGGCGACGCTCCGAAACACCAACCCCAACTTTGTCCGCTGCATCATCCCGAACCACGAGAAGCGGGTGCGTGTTAAGCGGAAGGTGGGCCGGGGTTCAGAATCGCCCTGGGTCAGGTTGCGGAGACGGAAGGGTGAACGTCTCGTTTGCTTGATTAGGCTGGAAAACTGGATCCGCATCTGGTGCTGGACCAGCTTCGCTGCAACGGAGTCCTGGAGGGAATCCGGATCTGCCGCCAGGGCTTCCCCAACCGGATAGTTTTCCAGGAATTCAGACAGAGGTACGGCAATCCCTTTTTCCCAGGACGTATCACGGCGCATCTTGATGCGCTTTGGAACAGTGGTAGCACAAAAAACGTGTCCCGGTCTCTTGTGTAGTTCCACTTTTATTTTCATACAGGAAAGGGATAATCCATCGTTACCTTTATTGTTGCCCAAGAATGTTGAGTGCCTTCTCTGTAGCGCTGACGTGCCGGCAGGTGCCATGGGTGCTCGGAAGGCTAGTTCCTGGCCGTGCGAGAGAAATAGCTGAGGCTGGGGATTGACCTTGCACTTGTACACATAGCTCTGCCCGAGACGTACACATCATTCCTTTTTAACTGGGTGTTTAAAATATATGAGTAAGGAGCGCCTGGGTGGCTCAGTCACTTGAGCATCTGACATTAACTCAGGCCACGATCTCATGGTTCATGGGTTTAAGCCCTGCGTCGGGCTCCATGCTGACAGCTCAGAGCCTGGAGCCTGCTTCGGAGTCTGTGTCTCCCTCTCTCTCTGCCCCTCCCCTGCTCACACTCTGTCTCTCTCTCAGAAATAAACATTCAAAAAAATATATAGAATAAAAAAATAAACAAACGAGTAACGTATGTTCCTTTTAGGAAAACTTGAAAATACAAGAGAACTAAAAAGGTAAATAAAAATCACCCAGGAGTGACTCTTGAAAACATTTTGGGATATTTCTTTCCATCTTCTTTCGATGACTATATCTGCATAGGTGTGTTTATGTGTAAACGTATGTGTATTTTTTCCACCAGGTACGCACGTGTAGACTTACAGTCTTTTTATCGGTAATACAGGGTAGGGAATAGGATAGATTAGAAAAGGATTACAAGCAACAAAAGGCAGGAGATAACAGAAGTGGATGCCGTCGAAACGAATGAAAACGTGAGGAATAGTTAAATTGTGGACCTAGGTCGTTGGCTTTTTCCTTTTTCTGCTGGAAGTCAGAGTTTCGATTACGGCAGCCTTGGCTGTTCCAGAACCAACAAGTCTGCAGGTCAAAGAAGGGCGCTTTCTGCTGCCATTGCAGACGGAATCCAGCTGAGAAACTATTCTAGCCTTTATGGGTTTGGGGGAGACCTTTCTGTGGCCCCAGCTGTATGACGAACACTGGGTAGAACTTCACTTCCTGTTGATAGAAGAAAGCGCCATAACTGGCATCCAGAATACAAAGCTGATGGAGACAGCCAGGATTCGTCCTTTGGTACAAGCAACGTCTTTTTGGTAAAATTCACTTTTATTGAGGTACATAATCTGCATAAAGTGCACAGATCTTGAAGGTACAGCCCAGTGAACGTATGTCCCCCCAGACCAGTGCTGTGTTGAACGTCACCCTGGTCCTCGCTAAGCAGAGCCCTCTGGGTATTCCTCTTGCAACCTTTTCTGTTGCATAATAAATGCCTACAAGTCACCCGCAGGGAGCCAGAGTCGTCTTGTGTTTTAGGCCTGAGAACACGTTGGGGGGCAGGGGGCATGAAAAAAGACTTTTTTAAACACTATGCTTTTACTTTTCTCTGGCACAGCTGCTTCAACCTAGTGTTTGTCCTTGGAGGATTAATCTCTGTTCAGTTTGCCTCCTGTTTCAAGAAACAGAAGGTAGATGTGCAGAAAATCTCAAATTACCCCCTGGTCGTTTCTTTATTGTTACTTTGACACGATTCTTGCCTCTTAGAGAAACGGAACTCAAAGTTTCCTTTTCTTTTTTTTAGTATTTGTTTATCT